ATGAGCACCCTGGAGATCACTGTTGGGAAGCCTTGGTATGCTGCTGGGGAACCCTTCATGGACGCTATAGGTTTCTCTGACATTTAATTAAGTAAGATTCGTCAGTTCTGGCCAAAGACTAAGCTATTCTAAGTTAATGAGTCAAGATTCTAGCCACCTTCACAGCAGATTTTCCCTATTATTTACAAAACGTGTGTGCGTGCGTGCGTGCGTGCGTGCGTGTGCGTTCGTGTGCGTTTTGTAGGTACCGATTCCTTAGGTACTCATGAGGAGGCATGCATGTGTGGGGGCCAGACAGCACCATTAGGTGTCTTCCCCAGTTTCTAAAGCTCTCTCACTGAACCTGGAGCCCAGGATTCAGCTGGGCTGGCTGGCTGGCGAGTTGAGGGATCCACCTGTGCCTGTCCCAACCACAGGGCTGGGATTACTGATCCACGCTGCCGTGCCAACTTTCATGGACCTGAACTCAGGTTCCCATGCTCCAATAAGTGTAGCAAGCACTTCCATCGACTCAGCCACCTTCTCAAGCCAGCATGATTATATTTGAGTCAATGGACTTTTTGAGCAAATGTGGAGGTATGTCAGCATGTTAGAAGGATTCCCCAAGACTAATTTCCAACAGCCTAGAGCAAACTAGTTAATGGTTCCTCCATGAAGACACTCCAGGTAGATGCTGCACCAACGTGGCCAGGTCCCACCCAGACACTGGGCCCCTTGCTTTAAGCCCCCAGACCACTGCCCTCTCCTAGGATACCTACCCCTTTAGACCAGGGGCTTTCCAGAGGCAAAGCCTGTCTTGTCAACTCTCCTTATTACCTGTCGCCACACACCACCTCGTCCCATGCTGTCACTCACCAGTTGGCTCTCCATCTGCCAGCATCATCCTCTTCCCAGGCATCTGTTCTGCTCAGCTAGCTTCCTCTCTCAGACCAGAGCCATCTCAATCCACTGCCTGGTTTCTTTTAACAAGAACATTTGATTTTTCCACTTTCCCAACATAAATTATGTATAAAGGGCCAATATTACACACAAGCATGGGGGTGGGGGTTTTTCTCCATAGACCACAGCAAATGTGGCTTAAAGGAAGAATCTGCTGTTTACCATAATCGACATTCCTTCCCATGGAAGCCAGGAGCAGCAGCTCCCATCAATGTGGCTGGGGATGTGGCTCTTGCATCTCTTTCCTAGGCTTTTGGGGCACAAGAGCATTTCAAGTCCCTACTTTTGGGGAGAAGGCAGACTCCTTCCCACAGTGCTGAGCTAGAATGCAGATAATCCAGCTGATGCATTTCTTCTCACTTCTCCAGGAAAGTGCTAACAGCCAGCGTGCCTTTGTGTCTCCTCCAGGGAAGGGATCTCATGTGTGAACCCATTCAGTTCCTAGCAAGTTCAGATCAAACCTACTCTTATCTGGACAGCTTCTCAGAGACCCACTAAAATGAAGAGATGGGCTCCAGTGGGGCATGGGAATCAGAACCTGCTACCCTAAACTGTAACCCATGCATCTCTCAAGGGGCCTCCACATACAAATCAATGATACGCAGCAGCTAAGAACTCCGACTTTTTAAAGGCTCATTCATTTACCCTAGTTTGGGGGTGGGGGGAGCCAAACTCTTTGTAGACATAAAAACCTGCTGTTGTGTAACAGTTTCTTCCTAGATTGAAAGACCCCATCCTTCAGGGGAGCTCCTTAAGCAGGAAGGTAAACAACTCAAAATAGCTCCAGGAAGTCCCTGAAACTGACCAGATTAGAGTAAGCAAGGAAGGCTGCAAAGACAGCTCTGAGACAAGACCTGTTGCCTGGAAGAAGCAGACACCAGCAGAGCTGCCTGGATAGGATTAACTGAGGCCCTGGAAAGGACACACTCCAACCTCCTGAGCTGCCTTAAGGCTGCGTGCAGTATAATCTGGATTCCTAGCTTACTGAGAAGTCACCCATGCTGGGGTGAGCTTTGGTGATACAGCTGTCTGTGAGTCATTTCTGCTCCTGTAAGTAACCCCTCACCCATATCACCAATAACACCAATAAAACTCATGACTCACCAAGTTGGACTTGGGTGGTATCATTACTTTGTTCTATCATGGATCTCTATCTAGGGTGTAGACGTTTGGGTTGTGTCTCCCCAGGAAAAGTTTTACACAACACTTGCTAACTCCATCACATCCCGAGAATACTTGGCAGCCTCTTCATACCCTGCTACTGCAAACACCATGCAATATAAGTCATATTACACACAGTATTAATTTCTGTTGTTGTGATAAAACACCATGACCAGGGCAAATTTACAAAAGAAAGAATTTAATTGGGCTTATGGTTCCAGAGGGTTAAGGTCCATCATAGAAGGAAGCAGGCCACCAAGCAGCAGATACAACAGGGGCAGGAAACTGAGAGCTCACACCTTCAAAGCAAAAAGCAATGAGAGCATACTAGATGGGGTGAGACTATAAACACCTAAAGCTATCCTCGGTTGTGTATTTCCTCCAGCAAAGTGACACTCCTAGACCTTCCCAAACAGTTCCACTAACTGGGGACTTAATGTTTAAATATCTAGGTGTGTGTGGGGGGGGAGATGACGACACACATTCTCATTCAAACCACTATACATCCATACAAAATGATATGCCTAAGCACCTCTGCCTAGAACCTGGGGGTAGAGTAAGAGCCTATTCCACGAAGTGGATGGAGAGCAGGGAAATGCAATACTTAAACATCAGATCTCAGCAAGCAAACAGTAACAGAAAGTCCCAAAGCGGGTCAGCCAAGGCCAATCGAAGAGAAAATAAATGTCATCACAACGGCCACTACAACTTGCCTCCAAACATCCTGAGCATCTCCAGGCTGTTAAATTATCTTTTCCTGGCCTGTCAGTTTCTTTACAAAAGAAATAAATCTTAAGAGTGTTTATTCTCTCTTTCTGTAACCACAAGTCAAATGATCTTGACAATATTTGGCTATCCAAACACATAGTTGTAAATCCTGCACCTAGAGCCCGGAAACCCCTGAATCCAAGACACACCAGCACCACTACCTACTGTCAGCACCTGGAAGAACCTGCTTGTGGCAACCTCACACTGCAGGAGAAGGGCATGTCCAGCATTACTCACCTCAGCAACTGTCCTTGCCCCAAATGTGACAACCATCCATCGTACCCGCTAAGAACTCAACTGTGGTGTTGAGTCACCCATGAAGCCATGACTTCCAATGTGATGGTGTTGAGAGGCTGAGCCTCTCTCTGGGAGGCAGCAGCTGGGTTCGGCTAAGGTCATGAAGGTGCTCTCCACCCCCACAATGTGATAGTGCCCTTGTAAGAAGAGACACCAGACAGCTCTTCTCTGGCCCATCCTACACAAAGAAGATGCCACAGGAGCATGCCACAAAATGGCAGCTGCTTACAAGTTAAGGAGTGGAAGAATAGCATTTGCTCTTCCAGCACTTCAACCCCAGCCTTCTCAGCCTTCAGAACCCAGAGACACATTTCTTTCTTTGAAACCATGCAGTCTAGTCTACAGTACTGTTAAGACAGTTTGAGCAGGCTGAAAAATAGCCATCTCTGACACCAGGGAGGGGCCGAGGATGGCAGCAGTGAGTCAGTGTGACCTTTCCCTTGTTTTTGTTAGGAGCTCATGACCCGCTGGCTGTGAGCATGGGCACCCCCTAGCGCCGACCAAGTGTAACACTCAAATACCCTCAGCACACAACAGGAAGGGCTACCATTCCCCCCTGAAGGACCGAGTTTATGAGTGTAGCCACTTCCTTATTTCCCTGGGGTCAAGGTACGTGCCAGGAACCAAAGAATGGGGAACAGGCACTCTCCTTGCACAGTTTTCCACTTCACCCAGTGAAACCTGCTAATACTTTCTCACGTACAGAGGGAGAAGCATGTACCCCTTGTATTTACAAAGGTGACCAAGACAGAATGAGATCACTGGGAAGAGAAGTCACAGCCTTCCAGGACACAGGTGATGTGAGACAAAGTAGACCCAGAAAAACTGATTTTTAAAAGCAGGCAGCGGATGGTTCCCCTGTGGGAGGGTGGGAAGTTGACATTCAAGAAAGCTGAAGAGGAAAACACAAGTTCTAATGTGTCTCTGTGCCGCCCCCCCCATCTTAGGCCCTCTCCCCAAACTAAAGCACAACCCTTCCTGGCTCCTAATTCATCTTCAGCCTTCTTCAGGCATTCTGGGTACATCTTCCTAATTTCTTTCTTCTGGCTCAATAGGAAACCCTTGACCTCAGATAAGCAACTTGGTTTCCACACTACAACAATAACCACCTCACTGAAGAGAGCCTCAGAGCACCTAGACTCAGGCTTTCAGGACTCTTAAATGTTAAGTCAGTTTATCCCAAGGGATTTACAAAACTCATATTCATGATATAAAAGGCAACATATGAATAAAAAATATGAAAACACATAATGGGATGTTTCCCTCACATTCTGCCCCACCATACGGCAAGTTCCCCTTCAAATCTGTCAATGTTGGTCCCCGTGTCCTAAGCATCCATATAATTTTTTGATGTTAAGCCTGCCTCCATATTCCAACTTTCTTTGCCCTTGGAAATGCTTAGTTATTCTAGAAATCTTTACATAGAGGGATAACATACATTTTAAAGCTGTATAGTATTCCACTCTGCGGCTGGGCCATAAAATATTTAGCTACAGTCTATGAATGGAAATATGAACCTTTCTACCAGATTTTTAAGGCCAGGAAACCAAGACTTATGGAGGTCACATGACTCTCCTGAGTTCAGAAGTCCGATGTCTGACTGTGGCTGGGGAAGGGCTAGAGCTAAAGTTGATCTGGTTCCAGCCTGAGCTCTTAAGCAATCTACCATATTTACTATCTGGCACAAGGTATTCAGTAAATACTCTGATTAATAAACCAACAAAGCAGTGGTGCTGTGGGATGGTCTGTATGTCAAATTGCTCTGATTGGTCAATAAATAAAACATTGATTGGCCAGTGGCTAGGCAGGAAGTATAGGAGAGGAGAAAGAAAGAACAGGAAGGAGGAAGGAGTCACTGCCAGCGGCCGCCATGACAAACAGCATGTGAAGATGCCGGTAAGCCACCAGCCACATGGCAAGGTATAGATTTATGGAAATGGATTAATTTAAGATATAAGAACAGTTAGCAGGAAGCCTGCCACGGCCATACAGTTTGTATGCAATATAAGTCTCTGTGTTTACTTGGTTGGGTCTGAGCGGCTGTGGGACTGGTGGGTGACAAAGATTTGTTCTGACTATGGGCAAGTCAGGAAAACTCTAGCTACACAGTGGTGAGACAAAGAGGTCAAAATAAGTAAGGCAGGAAGATGGGATCTTCCCTTTCCTCCGTCTTTTTCTGCTGTAATTGCTCCTTTCTGCTCTTCGTGAAGGATCCCCATCCTGGATATTCTATCAAAGCAGCAGGACAGAGACACTGATGCCAGTCAACATCTGACAAAGCCCGCCCCATCCTTGAGAATCATTTACTCCAGCAAGCCCTGGCTGAAGGAAATCCCAGAATGGATGCAGACTCTGAATGTGCTGGCCCAGAGCCCCACAGCTCTGACAAGGTCAGCAGGGAAGTAGGGAGACTCCTTCGGGAACACAACACCTGTGCTACCTCCCAGATGTCACAGGGCCACATCTGAGAGACCTGCAGATCAGAGGGCCAGCTTTCACTCTCCACTCCAGGGCTCACAACACTGGTTCCCCCGAAGCAGACATCCTGAAAACCTTCAGTTCTTTCCAAACGTGCCAGAAAACTGACACCGGAGCCTTGTTTCTACACCGTGTTTTACATTAGCCTCACTCTTCCGATAAATTTAACACCGGAATTATATACAACATGAAGTGCAGGCAAACCCAGCGGCTCCTTCACCAGCTCTTCTGGGAGCAGCTGCTGGAACAGGGCTGTATCTGACAACAGGAAAGCCTCGTCTTTCAATGTGGAGGGGCCCTAGGGAAGGCGCCAGCAAGGTAACCTCCCTGTGACCTCGCGAGGGATCAGAAAGATTTACTCCATCTTGTAAGTGTCAGAAGAACACAGCAAACTCCTCCATCTGTCTCCAGTCTTCAGGCCACGGCATGCCTGCCTTCCCAAGTGCCAAGCTAAAAAGTGACTCTCATTCTCTGTGGACTTTACAGACATCTCTCTGTGGACGGAACCATTTTAGGTACAGAGAATTTCTGGAGAGAGGAATGGATGGAAGGCCCTAACACCTGTCCCCCTTTGCCATGATTGATCATAAGGGATATTTATTTAACAAGGGCTCAGAATTACGACTTAATTGGTTGTAATCTGCTCAATGAAGGAATAATGTCCTCTGCAATTATTCTAATCTGGTCCATTTAATCTAAAAATCTATGGGACATTACAGATTTTTTCTGAGGCAGAATATTTGAATCTCTTTCTCCACATTTGTGTTTCAACTATTGACATATAAAACAAATGGCCACTTCTTTAAAGGCTGAGATTTAATAAAAAAAAAATCTATACTTTTTACTCATGCTGAATGTTAGCCCTTACTAGTTGTAAAAACCAGCATTTGCAATTCTCCTGCAACGAGACCCCAAAGCTTCTGTGTTTGTTTTTCTGTTCCCTCCACTGGGCTCAGACTAAAATACATAGAACGGAAATTTCATTACCTCATTTTATGTAACTTGTGTATGCGTTTATGCATATAATGTCAGTAGTGTGTGCTGGTGGTGGGGTATATGTGTCGGTGGTATACGTGCACATGTGTGCTGGGGGGGTATATATGTCAGTGGTTATATGTGCACATGTGTGGGCTGAGACCAAAGAATGCCAATGTCTCTCCTCTTTATCCCCTTAAGGCCAGATTTCTCTCTGAACTTGGAGCTGGGCTGGCAGCCATCAGACCCAGCTAGCCCCTTATTATCCCTGCCAGCTTCCAGCGGTGAGGCTAAGGTGTATGGCCATGCCTGGGTTTCTATGTGGATGCCAGGGATTTGAACTAAGGTCTTCATACCTGCACAGCAAACACACTTACCTGCTGAGCCATTTCCCCAGCCCCTACAGTAGAAATCTAAAAGGGAGCAGCATATCCTCATCACGCCCAGCTATCTCAGAAGCAGAAAGGAAAATGCATTTACAGAGATGACCAGAGGGAGGGAGGGAGGGAGGGAGGGAGGGAGGGAGGACAAGCATGCCCATCTGCAGTTGTGGGTTTACATTAAAAATATTAATGTTTATGGCCCCTCCTACCATACATGTTGACAAATTTTATTGTGGACGATGTAAAGCTTTGTTTACTCGAGTGTCAGAGAATCAAAATGCAGATCACGGCAGAACCATTCCTCAACGTTTTTATTTTATAATTATTACAATTCGATTCTAGTGGGGTTTTGCTGGATATATATCAGAGGTGGAAATCTTCTTAAAGTAAATCATTTCCCTTCAACCATGCTGGTAGTGCCCTGTCTAAAGGTCTTTGGGGAAAATAAATAATGGGAATTTTGTTATTGATCTCATGCAGAGGCAGTAGAGCTAATGAGTTATTGTTATTTTACCCAGAGCAAATATTATGAGGTCCAAAATAATAACATTCAATTAAAGAAAGCCAGCCTGATAGGACAGAAGATAAAAACGTAATGTAACAATGAATTCCTTTCAAGAGTTTCTAAATGCTAATTTAGCCTGTCATACATTTAGAATGAAATTCTTTGCAAAATGTAGTTTCCCATGCCACCATAATAATTAAAGTGATTATTTATCTTGTGATAGACAAGTATCATCTCTGACAAAAGGAGGTTGCTGCTCTTCATTAAAAGATAATTTATACTTTAGATTCATTTTTAAGTGTAGCAATAACAACAGAAGCCTTAAGCCGATAGCCAAGTCTCCCAGGATTTACCAAACTATTTGAAGAGTTGGCTCTGAGTAAAACTCGGAAAGCAATTTTGAATGTGTTGCACCAACAGAGCCCTGTTCAATGGCTCCTCAATGCAGCAGCTGAGGGTCTCTGGATCCTAAGGTCACTACGTGGTCTGCAGAGTTTAGCTTGATCCAAGAAACCGGAGCACTTCTTCACAGTGTGGGAAAAAAAGATGTCAACAAGCAGAAGTCCATGCTATTTCCCTGTGGTATCACATAAAACATGGAAGGCTCTGCTTGCTTGTGTTCTGTTCTGGCCCATCCGGCCACCAAGTAAGCCTAAGTGACTCTGGAGTTTAAGGAAGCAGCTGGAATACTCTAAGTGTTCTGAACAAAGTCCTCACTGTTTCTCCCCCACACTGACCCCATGTGCTTGCCTCTTACTCCCGTGGTGGTGACGGAGCTGCCCCCCACTGCTCCCATGCCTACATCACGTGCAGGGTCTCCTCTACTCTTCCTGCGGCTCTGAGTGCCTAGCGCTCCTGACACAAGGTGAAGATGAAGGCAGAGGCCTCGGCAGCAGCACGTATTTTCCTTCTCAAACACCGTCACAAAACCACATCCACAAAGAGACATTGTTCTTGTGATGATTTCCTTCAAGGCTTCGAATCCCACCAGTTTTCCCAAGTCAAGGACTGTAAAGAGCAAACAAGGGCTGGAGGGACGGCTCGGTCAGTGGGTAAAATGTCTCTAGAATTTTAGAAACCAGCTGGGGGGCATGTACCTGTAACCTCGTCCCTTAGGGCAGAGACAGGTAGATCCTGGGGGTTCTCCAGCCAGCACAGACAAAATGCAAGCTCCAGGTTCTGTGAGAGACCCTGTCTCAAAAAATGAAATGGAAAATAACAGAGGAAGATACCAGAGCTTGGCCTTATCACACACATGCACACAGGCAAGTGCACCAGCGACAAACACATATGTGTGCGCGCACACAGACACACCAAATGAATCCTTTAGACCGATTGTCCTTTCAGGCCATCTCATGCAATGTGGGGGCAGAGCACAAAAGCCCTTCAGCGTTTGGGGAGTCTCGAGGAAGGGGTGTGTCTACTGATTCCCCTGGGTTTGCTCTCCTTCCCACTCTGTACATCTTCATACATCACACGTTTCAAAGCCCTTCCCTGCACCGGGGGAGTACAGTCTCGGTGCCTGGCATACAGCAGACACTCACCAAGCATCTGCAGACTGAAGAAAGTAAGCAAAGGCATATCAAAAGCAAGCAGGGGCTCACTGGTGTCAGGGACGGCACGGAGAGTTTTCATTTTGGGACAAACCCATGAGGAGGCATCGTGAAGATGTCTCAGTTAACCAATAGTGAACTTGAGGTTTGGGGAGGTTCTAGTGACCCGATAAAGATGGTGGAGCTAGGATCTAGGACCAAGCCAAACCTACCCTCAGCCATGTGCTCAGTCTTCAAAGAGACTGATGAAATGGTCTTCTGTTCTCACAAACAAGACCTTGTTTAAGGCACACCTATTTTCACACAATGGATGCTTTAAAATTTCAGAATTCAGGAGATTTCTAGTGTTTGGCTTTGCAAAACAATACTCTCATGTATTGGAGTATCCACGGGCTTTGCCAGAAGAATCCAAAGCACTTGTAAACAACAACCGGGGTAAGAAAACCAATGCACACCTTTCCAAGAACCTGTCACCAAGAAGGTCACGGTCCCTAGGCATCATCCAACTATCTTGCAAGCATTTCGAATTGCCTGGAAGAGACTAGGGAAATAGAGGGACCCTGGAGAACCAAAATCTGTCAAAACAAATCTCAGCCATGTAATTTCAGTGTTTCATTGTGATGGGAAAACAGGCCCTTGCAAGCCTCCAGCTGAGGGCCCCTGCCGGACTCTCTGGGCCACATCTGCATCTTCAGCTGATCCAAGCGGCAGCTCAATGGGTATTAATACTCCACACCACATGACGCAGATGAGTTTGGGAATGGAATTAGAATTCGTTGGCTGAGGTTCCACTTTGGCACTGAATAGAGGTTCATCAGAAACAGGTACCATCTGGAATTGACGGGAAAGTCAAATTGGATGTGTCTCTACACATGGAACTATTTGCCATGCTCTCGTGGTTATAAAGCACAGGTGTGGACTGTTGCTGTTGTTAAGGGTAGGTTTAGGTAGCACTGACTGGAGTCTATAGAAACATCATGAGGTCCAGACAGAAGACTCTGCAACACTGAGAACCCAAGGGGCATCTTGCTAACCAGCCATTCTTACTGGAAGACAGCACAGAAGAGCCAAAACATGAGCTAAGGCACACAATTCCCAAGCAAGAATTAGTAATCCAGGGACCAGGGAGGGAGCTCAGCCAGCAAAGCACAAGCTGAACAAGCGTGAGGACCTGAGTCCGATTCCCAGCACACTGACTTACAAGCCAAGCACAGCAGTTTTCATGCACACTGCCAGCCCTGGGGAAATGGACATGCAGATCTCGAGAGCTCATTGGCCAGCCAGGCTAATCAAATCGGCAAGCTCCAGATTCACTGAGACCCTATCTCAAAAATTAAGGACAAAACCTGATGCTAACCTCTGGCCTTCACAGCACACACACATGCTTGTGCCTGGGCATATCATACATGAGTGAAGACTCCCACAGAAACATACCCCCACCTTCCCCCACATACATACATACACATACACACATGGTCTTGAAAAATGGTTATTTTCAAAAGAGAATTTCTTCAAGTTGTCAGTCACAGGACAGCTGTGTTTACACACAGAATGAAGTGGGAAACTCACACAATTATCCAGATGATTTTCATCAAAACATCCTTGTAACTGAAATATCCAGAACGCTGAAGATATCATATGGGAGTGTCTTACATTTGGGGCTTGAGTTTCCAGATAATTGCTCTATCTCTCAGGTCTTGTTTAGGCTTGAACCCCAGCCTGTGCATTGGCAATAAGAAGCCAATCACTTACAGATGTTTGTATGTAGGGATGCAAATGTCTGTGGCGACAGGCAGACACAGATGTCGCCCAGCGTAGTCCAGACTCGGGGTTTGAGTTTTAGAAGCTTACTTTGAAAATGTAACTGTACACAGATCATTCCTTTCCAACTCAAGCCCCTATAAAAAGTCACTTAAGCGAGTAATGTCAATTGCCTCAAACTAATCAAATCAAGTAAAATGTTTCGCTAATGGTGCCCTGATTCGATTTTGGAAGACAGCGTCTGAAAACAGGGTATTTTATTTTATAATTAAAAATGAACCCCTTTGAAAACTGCCTTCTATTTGCTTCAGAAGCCACATTTGCATAAAAAGTTTCCCTTGTTTTTATCATGTATCATTATTTATTTTATTATTAGCGTGACCTCTGATGGCCCAACTATGAAGGTAACGGGACAACTTTGTGAGGTTGGTTCTCTTCTTTCACCATGTGGCTTCTAGGGATCAAACTCGGGTCACTAGGCTTCCAGCAAGCCCCCCAAGTCATTTTAGCAGCCCCACTATATGTATTTAAATATACACTATGGTGCACTAATTCACATCACCATAGTAGAGTGTTTACTGCAGGCAAACAGATTAACTCACTCATCTAATGTTTTCTTAAATCAACTAGAAAACCAGACTACCCCCATCCATAAATCCTTTTCACCTTTA